TATACATATATATATATATATATGTATTTATAGTTTTATCCTTGGCTTGCTTTAGTCATGATCAAATACGTCGACGACAGCACATATTCGAGGTCACATACTTTTGTACTGGATTTTACCCTCATTGGGAACGTCCGCACGCAGTCATTAGTTTGCGTTCTCGCACTTGGCTAGAACATGTTGCGGTTCAGATCTGTTTACATGCGAAGCATTTTGGCAAGTCAAATATTGTAAGTCTCATTGCAGCCATCACACTTTTGCTTCTTGTACCTGGATTGGACCCCACTATCAATTACAGGTGCACTACACCAGCACACACATGGCGGTGGCTACAGACGGCACGGACACCTACATACAGTCCAAGACGCCGTTGATCACTTCCAGTGGTGATAACCGCATGTACAGGAGGTTTGTTCTGGCGAATGGGCTTCCAGTTACACTGGTGTCGGATCTTGACGCAACGCAGTCCAGTGCCGCGATGGGGGTGGCATGCGGCAGTTATCGCGACCCCGATGAGTTGCTGGGCCTGGCTCATCTGACCGAGCACATGCTCTTTGTGGGTATGTGAGAGTTTGTTTGCACCGCTTTCAAGTATGCGTTGCAGTGTGACAAGTGAGGTGTTGGTGTCACAGGTGCTTATATATTTGCAGATGTATAGCAGTGTTGTTGAAGCTACTTGTGTCATAAATTCATGTCTGCGTTGGTGTGGTTGTTCGCACACATTTCTCCAAGCATGCTTTGGAGAGACACATATCCGGCAACTGTGTACGTGTAACGTAGCAACCCGATTTACGCAGTCAATGTAGTTATCGTTTTGTGGTTTTGTACTTCATGGATTGGCCGAGGGATAGTTCAGATACATCGGCACTCTGTGACAATGCATGCACCGCAAAGTCTAACTCGAAGAAGTATGTAATTGTCAAAGATACAAGCAATTGGGCGTGTATACATCGTGCTCACACGGCTATGAGCCTCATTCGAAGCCGAGACAAGCGCAAATGAAATATTTATTTTTCAATATTCATTTTGCTTCACCACACTGTACCATGCGCAGGTGGCAGTGAGCGATATCCGGGATTAAATCGCCTGGATAAGTTTTTAGCGTCTCATGGCGGAGAGCAGGCGAATGCGTGGACATCCAACACAGCCACAGTCTACTTCTACGGGGTGGAGCCGTCGTCTTTCAACGAGTCGCTGCAACTGTTTTCTGGTGAGTTTGGGTGTGTGTTGCAGTTTGCATGCGTCGGCTGCCGGGAACAATTATAGTCGTTCCATGGGCATGCATCCGCGTGTATTCGTGTACTTGAAGTGGTGCGTGACACAATCTGCTGTTGTAATGTCTGAGTTACATTCGGTGTAGTGCATAAGACGTACACACATTGTTCAGCATAGCTTGCATGCACGCACTGCTTGCACTTTCCATCATTGTAACACTTACGATGGCAAATGTATAAGGGTTTCCGTATTCCGTTGGCAAAATATTCCTGTGCATGTTGAGACAAAAGGTGTATAACTTTGCACTCTCTCCACCACACCCTGCGACATCCGCACAAAACTATGTTGGTTCTAATATCGTACCCCCTGAATACCCCGCAGGATTCTTCATCGACCCCATTTTGACACCGGAGAGTATCGGCGACGAGATCAACGCCGTGAATGCAGAGTACGAGAAGGATCTGCCTCAGAACGACCGCAAGGCACAAATGGTACTCAATACCAGGCAGAAACAGGACCACCCATCGTCACGGTTCACGATAGGCTCCACCAAATCACTGGTGGAGGACCCCAAAGTCTCTGGCACGGATGTGTTCACGGGCATGTTGAAATATATCAATCAGTGCTATAAGGTGAGTGGGGTAAGAGGAGTCGAGGGGCGCGGTGGGTGGTGTTTGTGTGACCTTGCTATTGTGTAGTCGTTGTGCAGTGATTATATTGCGATTACGTTCTCGGCGTAGTGCACGAGACTCATTGTGCTGTTCTTGTACTGTCAGTGTGTGTAGCACTAAACAATCAGCGTGCCAAGCATCGTTTGTAGGCAGGAAACATATTGTCAAATTTCGGATCACTATGTTGAGCTGACTATTGTGTGTGCACACCGGGTCGAGTTGTGTTATCGGCAATTAAGCACACACCACGAGATAGTGATAGTGTGTGCATGCGAGAAAATTCTTATTAAAATCCCGGCTGTGCATGCATTCAAATATTATATAATGTGCTAAATCTCATACGATTTGCGAAGCGTAAGTCGTAAACAACTCGTGAGGAGCCTTTCAAATTGCCCTGAATCTAACACAACCTGTGAAGATTTTTCAAATCGGGCCAAATCTCATGCACACTCTTGCATACAATACAGTCACGCAACCTGAACTTGGCGATTGTATCGCCGCATTCGCTGGATGAATTGGAGGCGATGGTCTCCGAACTCTTCGTGCAGGTGCCGGTGGGCGATAAACCGGAGCCGCTGAACCTGCCACTTCCATACGATCCCTCCAATTTAAACGGATTCTTTACTAGTAAGCACACACACACACGAAGTCCCACGATCAGATGTACTCTCTGTGTCTGCTGCATGCCATCAGCCCTTTTCGGCCGTTTTACGTTGTGATGATTGTGTTTCGAAAGGATGAATATTAGTGTCCACGAGGTCCGAAGACAGCGTACATTACATTGTCTACTCACAAAGTGAAATCGCAGGACATCTGACCAGGTTCTGCAGGCATCGATAGCCCTATCTACCGCTTCTCTCATCATATAGCGAAACACACTATGTGCACAGTTGTGCTATGCCCGAGGTCATACGTGTTTTGTTATTAGCTCAGTCCACCTCCAATCTAAGTAAAGGCCCTAATCGATGTTGCCTACTATATAACACCTCAGTGAAACCAGTAGGCGAGACTCGCAATGTGAGGATGCAGTGGCAGCTGGCAACCTCGCCATACACACTGAGCAGTCCCGCCGACTACTTGGCTGTGCTGGTGGGCGATGAAGCAGACGGCAGTATCCTGGCGACCCTCAAGGAGGATGGTCTGGCCTTATCGCTAGAATCCGGTATGTGTTTTGCCTAGCGAATTCAAGATTGTTCCCGTTTTATAGTCGGTAACTGTTTACGTGGATACATGCCCTTTGCGTTGCTATGCTTGTCTTTGAGGTAGATGCGATAAGTTGTTGTCCAGTTCCTGTCGTCTAGATCGCAGTGCCCCAGGCCTTGTTACGCCTGAATCAGTGGCCGCTGCGGAGTTGTACGGTCTGCATGGCGCATAGGGTAATGCTTTACATCTCTTGGTCTCATGTGGAAGTGTATGTCGTGGTGACATCGGGTATAAGTTACTCTACGATCTGTGTCTATGTGAACCGTACTGTGCTATTGCATATCGTATCGAGCGTCTCTGCATAGTTAATTACTCTGTCTTGTTTGCCGATGTGCCTGTACGTGATTTAAACAGGCGACATATGCAGTCATTCATCTCAAGTGAAGCCAAATTGCATAGATACAAATGGGTAAATCGTCGATTGCAACCCGAACTGCCGTGCACAAACAACCACATCTGATTTACATCCTTGAAAATTGGTTCTTTCTCGGGTATTTTGTTCTACTGGCCTTCTTATCAGTTTGTAATCTGTTTCGACTGTGGAAGTTGCGCTAGCGTTACTTTTTTTTGGTAGCGAAATGACAAGGTTCATGCGCCTTTCTGATAACGTCTCTTCTAAATTAGAGCCGCAAATCGCTTCCCCACGGCATTGTGGCGGCCGTTTGCTATGTGTATATTTATGAAGATTGCCAAGGTGATGGCCTAGTGTTGTCATATCAGTGTAGTAGGTACATCCCTACGATTACACGTTACTCGATCGCTGATATGCGTACATGTGATACCTTTCTTATATATACCCACAGGCACCGACTACTACGAGGGTTATACCATCTTCCAGGTGTCTGTAAAGCTCACGGAAGCGGGGCTGCTGAGGTGGCCTGAAGTGGTGTCCCGTGTGAAGGAATACATTGCCATGGTCGAGAACGCCGGGTATGTACTGAGATGGGGACAGCAAGTAGAGCATATAATGTAGATGTATTGAAAGATGGCATCGCACTGGTACCGTGTCACGTATGCTGAAACTTGTCCTCGCGATGGTCTTTAACGCTCAAATAGAAGAGTGTGATTCGCCTTTTTCGTACTGTATTTGTATTTATGTTTGCCTAATGTTGAATAGGATACCTCGTAGTACGCTTGTGTAGCCTCTTTCGCTGTGATTACGACGACAAATTTTTTTTTTTGGCACGTTGACGGGCTTGAACACACTTCTGAAGTTGTAGCTTGAAGCTAAATTTTTCTACATCTTGTGCCACACAGACCCCAAGAGTCGGTGTATGAGACTTCGCAAATGGCTCGTGAATGCGCGTGGAAGTACCAATTCTCCGTCGATCCGATTGGTTACGCTAGCACGCTAGTGGCTCGAGAAATAGAAAACATGACAGGTAAAGGCCCCTTCTACAGATATTTGAATATACGTCAGTACATACTCGTGCATACGCTTACATGTATGTACACACATACTTATAGATATAGACACAGGGGAATCAATGTCAAATCTAGTTGTGATGTGTTCCACTCTCTAGCCACGCTAACTGGAAAAAACGATAGGTAGGTCGCTGCCTCTCGCCATTTGAATCGGTGAGCTCTGCATCCCTTCCACCATGCATACAATGTCGCAATATACAAATATATGTCCACGCGTATGCTTGCATTGCAGTCAGTCGACGAATTCCTATCGTATCTTATTCAAAACCAGAAGTGTCGACTGTACATTTCATTAGTAACGCAGGATCACAAGCATTGCAGCCCCGCCCAATACATGCGGGGTTTCTGAAGCACTCATTACACGTTCTCTTCTGAGAGAGCAGGGTATGAGTACAGGCGCGTGGTCACATATGTATCAGATTCACCCATTTATACATGTAACAGCTGGCTCGGTACTATAGTGTCTCTATCTACAATGACCATTTCTCTATCTAACTATGCTGATTCATTTCACAATCAACCGACACGTCACAGAGGCAAAAAATCTTCTCCGCCCGCCCTCGGCGTTCGAGTATGACGCCGATTTGGATGCCGCGGTGACCACTGAGCTGCACACTAACCCGTTTCTGGTGCTCGTTATGGATCCCGACACCCCGATCTCACCCGGTAAGTTGCAGTAAACTGCGTTGTGTATTTGTGTGTAAATGTAATGCATGCTTTGTTTGATGATTATCCGGTCGAATTCAACTGAGTTGCATGTATCCGGCAAGCAGCTTACTATATATGCTGTCACTGGCTATTATAAAACGGTCTGTGTGTGCCAACTAGTTGATATCTGTACCTTTATGCGCGGTGTACATTGTAAAAGAATTCTGCAAAACCGTCACCAGCCTTGCTGTGAATCTCGGTTGCGGCGGGGTGAGTTGGCTACTCGACAGGCAGTGTGATGGCTGGGCTAACCAATGTTGTTACTTGAACATGCAGCAGCAGGTAGTGAGGAGGTTGCAGCTGATCCAGGCTCGTCTACACGAAGGAACCCGAGCAGACGTGCCGACAATCCGGCAGATGTAGACACAGACATGGATACAGATGCAAGCGCAGAGACACCCCCAGAGGCGAACTCCGATACAGGCGCCACTGAAAAGGCTGTACCAAGCTCGGGTACACTGAATGGAGTGACTGTGGAGGTCGAAGAATGGTTCAATACGCCGTACACCTTCACCGAGTTCAACCAGACGATGCAGGATGCCTTCGGCAACTTCACCATGGGGAGTCGCTTGCATTTGCCCGCCAAGAACGAATTTCAGTGCAATGCCACGGATCTCACGCTGCTGCCCAAGATTGTGGAGCCAGTGCTGGACGATCTGAAGGAGAAGGGCGACCACTTGTGGCACGCACAGGATGTGGTCTTCCGCACGCCCACAGTGGTGACGCAGACCACATTGCTGTCTCCATTGAATAAGCAGTACAAGCTCATTAGGTGTGAAATGATAGTTCGGAGATGTGAGCATATTGTGATGTCGAAGTTCAATATTAGTGAGTATTTTGTACTATCCATGGTCATGTTTAGGTTTAACGTGTTATACTTGCTACATTCAGTCTGGGCGAGATCCTGGGTCCGCGTCGGCGCTAGAATTACAACTTGTGTTAGAATGCAGCTCATTTCGCTATTTTATATCCATGCATCCACCAAGATAACGGATATGTACCGCTGGGATCTTTTGGTCGCACCATGCATTACACGCTCTCATAGTCGATAGCAACCAACGGCATGTCTACCATTCTCATCCACATACACACAGAAGTAAAAGACGGGATACGGCCAATTACCGGATCGGAAGTGTAGAAGTTGAACTTCGCATGAGGATGATGGCTGATATCCTCAGCGACGCAGCGAAGAGTCTGGTCTATGACGCAGAGCGTGCAGGCATGGCTGTGGCCGTAACTGGCCAGAGCGGCGATCTGCAGATACATGTTTCTGGTATGCTAT